ATATATATATATATATATATATATATGTAGAGCAATATATACTAATTTATAAATAGCCAATATTGCTAACAAAATATTTAAATAAATTTTTGCATATCACTCAATTCTTAGATATTGATATTTCTATCATCAAAATTTTAAACACACAAAGATTTATGTATAAACTAAAATTTAAGTAATAGTTATATAAATACATAAGAGTTGAGTGATTTGCATGTAAATCTGATGTTTATTGCCAGCAGTAATAAACCTTCAAGTTTTTGATATAATAATTAATTTGTGCTAATATACAACAGATGTACTTCGTATCAAAAACACTTGCAGAGAAGGCTGCTTGGGAGTTCGTGAAAGAAAATGACGTTGATTTTATAGCCATAATTCCCACATTGGTGGTGGGTTCCTTCATGACAGATGAGATGCCGCCAAGTTTGACCACTGCATTTTCATTAATTACAGGTGAATGATTTCTCATTTTACATGGCGACCCTTCAAGTTTATAGATTTTACACACTACCAACAGATCGTAGAACAACTAATAAAAATAATTAATATTTGGAATTTTATAGGTGCCATATTATTATAGCTTAAAATTTTATCTTACATTCGAGGAAATTTGTGAATGACTTTTCATAAATTAATCGAGACAAAAGGACGAGAGGGTAATAAAGTAACGAACTTATAGGCAGAAGCAGATCTAAAAATGATAAACGGTGCACAATTTTTCCGGCATCATTATTGTAATTATGCAAATTTAAGTAAAAATTATGATATTCAAACGTTTATTATGTGTTGATATTTTGTTAGGAAATGAAGCTCATTACTCGATAATAAAGCAAGCTCAATTTGTTCATTTGGATGACTTATGTGATGCTCATATTTTCCTTTTCGAGCATCCGGACGCAAATGGTAGGTACATTTGTTCTTCTCATGATTCAACAATTTATGACTTGGCAAAAATGCTGAAGAAGAGATATGCCACATATGCCATTCCTCAAAAGTAAGTACTTTGTAAATTTATTTTGGGGCATTTACATATATACCACACAATTGTTATGCATTTAGACATCTAATGCCTAAATTTTCAAAATTTCATGAATAATACTCGAGACTTTAACACTACATAAAAAATTTGATAATCTATCTATCTATCTTGTAAATTTATTTTGGGGCTTTTACATATATACCACACAGTTTTTATGTATTTAGACATCGAATACCTACATTTTGATATTTTCATGAATAATACTCAAAATTTCAACACTACATCAAAAATATGATAATTGATATATATGGGCCGCGTACACAGATCAGTTGGTTGGGCATCTGCTTGTCAGTTGCAAGTCCCCTCTAGTCTAGGGTTCGTTCCTCCCAAGTGCAGGGTGTGGTACACGAATTCTATTCTGCACAACATGTGGGGAGACATAGAGAGCTCTTTCTTTCAAATATATATATATATATATATCTATATATATATATATATATATATATATGTTTTCTAATTTCAGCACAATAATCAAATAATTGCTTCTATAAAGAGAACGTCTACTAAAATTTTATTATTATATAGGTTTAAAGATATTGATCCAAATATTAAGAGAGTAAGTTTCTCTTCTAAGAAGTTCATGGACTTGGGGTTCAAGTACAAGTACACTATTGAGGATATGTTTGATGATGCTATTAAGGTAGGGAAAAGAATCTCTTACCGCCCAACACTGAGGAACCAGCCTTAGTTGCCGAGAAGTATGAGGAAGTGAAAGAACAAGTGCAGTTAAGTGAAAGAAGAATGAGAAGTTTGAAAATTTTTTTTGTTATCCTTTTATTTATACATGTTCTTTATTATGCGTGGTAATATTTTGAGTGATTATAGCGGTCTTTATTTCAGACATTACACAGATAAACAATTGTAATTCATGTTTGTAAATTTGAATTTATATTGTTGGGTTGTTTAGTGGAAGATGGTGTCTAGGTCTCATAATATTTGATGCACCCATGAGTGATTGAGGGCTTGCAATCCATGTTTTTGTTAATTTTTTCAATTTTCATAGAATATGTTTTTTTTTCTACAATCTTTAATGTGAGAGTATAAATTTATTAAGAAGCTACAATACTAGAAATTGGAATTTTTGTCACATTTCTTGTTCCTTTTTCCAAGTAGCTTCTTTTTTGTGGCCCATGCTTCCATTTTATCTTGACATAAAGGAACAATCTTTTAAAACTATATAACCCATTTTTGAGCATTGATATGTGAAACGCATCATGAATATTTTACATATCAGCACGTAAAGCTAGCCCATAAGCAACTTGACCATTATTTCAATGATTCCAAAAGAACCAATATATCGGGGGCCTAACTTAATTCCATGATCAATTATGGTTATATCTTTCATTGACTTAACTCTTAGAAACACAAAGACACCAACCACAAACTTCACTGCTTAATTTATTAGTCATAAAACATTTGTTGTCAATTCTGAGTAACTTTTTATCTGTCTTTAATTAATCTAATTTTCTCTATGACTTCAATTATTTTAAGACTTAAAATATGACATTGTCCAACTTCAACCCGACTAAATGGATTTCTGCATTTCCTGTAATATAGTCCTTCATACGAAATCATTTTATACTTAACTGGTAATTTATATTGTAGGCAAATTCAATCATCATAATATGTTCTTCCCAATTATTTCCAAACGTCAAGAACACAAAACCTCAATAAGTTTTCTAATACTTACATTTTTCTTTCTCTGATTATCCATCAGTTTATGGATGAAAAACTGTGTTAAAGTACAAATGCATACCTAAACATCATTGCATGCCTTTCCACAACCTGGATGTGAACATTCCATCTCGCTTAAAAATAGTAATCTTTGAAATACCTAGTAGTCAAACCGAATAATTTTAGGTCCGGAGTTCGGACCAAGAGCTACATCCTAACGCCATTGAAATACGCCATGTGTAAATCTTAGTCCCATTGCTTAAAATTGAAAATGTTTTTTTTTTTTATCGCGCGACCCATCCCGACCCAGCCCTTTTGGTCGAAAAAGCTTTATTTGTCACTTTCCTACTTATTTTGTCATGTTTTTCATTTATGATTTAAACGTCCCCGCTTTATTGTCTAATGTTTTTCATTTGCAATTCCGAAAGCTAGGGTTTCAAGCAGCTGCGATGGACTTCTCACTCGACCAAGAAATATTGATGATGAATTTTGAAAATAACGGCAACAGGTTTGAAATGGAGGTAATTTAAGCTTCAGTCAAAATGTTTTCTTTATCTTAAAGTCATTGTTGTTAAGCTACAATAGCGTTTATGCGGTGCTATTCGGGTGTTTATGATGTATTATTCTTGAGTTATTTCTGGTGTTCAATAGTTTTTAATCAGATGTTTTTATGTAGTTTTTTATGATATTGTGGTTTATTGATACGAGGTTTTGGAGTTCTTGTGGTAATATTATGTTAATATTGTTTTGTTACTAAAACAAAAGGTTTCAAAATTAAGGTGGGACTCTGACGTTACTCAGTAATTATTTTGTTGCTCTGGTATTATTTTAGTGTTATTACGGTGTTATCCATGAGTTATTATTCTACTATTTTGTTGTTATTGAAAGGTGTTACTAGAGTTTTTTTATGGTGTTATTGTTTTGATATACTGGTGTTATTATAATCTTTTTCTATGTTATTGTTTTGGTTTTTTGTGTTGTTATTACGATGTCATGTAGGTGTTATTTTGGTGTTTTTAGGGTATTTTTTTGGTGTTATTTTTTTTGGTGGTATTGCGGTGTTATGTTGATGTTATTATGATGTTATTGTAGTGTTAATTTGGTATTACTGTGATATTATTTTGTTATTACTCTTGTAGTATTTTGGTGTTATTCTTATAGTATTTTGAGATTATTCTTATGATGTTTTTTTGTGTTATTTTGGTTTTATTCATGTGGTATTTTGGTGTTATTATAGGATTATGAAGACTTTGGTGGAATGCTTTGTTTTATTGAGATTGTAGTATTTGATTTGCGTTATTTTCTTATCTAACCATTTCTATAATATTATGCAAATTTACAGTTATGTGAGCCCGAAAATGCTTGCAATGATCTATTTGTAGATGACTTTCTATGCACCATTGTTCACAATGGGGAAGAAGCATATGAACATTATTGTCAATGGGCTCATCATATTGGTTTCACTGTCCGAAAGAATCATAGTTATTTTTAGTCGAGCTCAAAGAAAATTAAGACAAAGGATTTATATGTGAAAAAGTTGGTCTCAAACAAGAGTCGAAGTTCACAAACACTGTGAAGTTCAAAAAAGCAGACAAAATGACTGGTTGTCAAGCTATGGTTCAATATGCTGTCGATGTTGAATGCAACTCGACAGTTGAGAAATTTGTAGAAAGTCAAAATTACCTCTTGGCGAAAACTGGTGATAAGCATCTTTTGCATTCCAACAAAAATATAAGCAAAAAAAATGCAGATGTGCTGACATCAATGATAGGATCAGGGATTAGAGCCACAGATGCATTTAGCTTACTTTCTACATAGGTTGGAGAAGTAACAAATCTAGAATGTACGAAGAGTGTTGCCTTCAATTTTACTCAAAGAGATAAAGGAGATAAATTTGAACAATGTGATGCTAATTCTCTATTACAATTGTTTATGAAGAGGTAAGCTGAGAATAACATATTTGTGTGGGTCTTCCAAACTGATAAGGACGATAGACTGGTGAGAGTTTTTTGGAGTGATGGGTTGTCCAGACTTGATTATGACTGTTTTAGGGATGTCATAATTTTTTATAAAAGCTACATACTAAATAGGTATGATTTATGTTGTGCTCCTTTTGTAAAGGTTAACTTTCATTGGCAAAATATTCTCTTTAGAGTTGGTTTTTTGTCCGACAAAACGATTGATTCTTTCACGCGGTTGTTCAATGCATTTTTTTGTATAATGGATGTCAAACAGTTAATTCCAAATTTTACTAATCAGAATCAAGCGATGATAAGAGCTACTGAAGATTGTCTCCCATAAACACGACATGGATTATGTTAGTGACATATATACAATAAATTTCCTTTGAAGGTGCATTGTGGTACGTGTATCAAGAGTATGAATGACATTCTTTATAAATGCATGATCAAGTGTGATTCCAAAGAGGAGTTTGAAGAGGCTTGGTCTGTAATTATTGAGAATGAAAATGTACACTACAACGTATGGTTAAATAATTTGCACAATATAAGACACAAGTGGTCAACATTATTCAAAAAAGGAATATTAAGAATGAGAATCTTATCAAAACGAAGAAGTAAATCCACAACAAATTTCTGTCATGGTGTATCCAAACCCACAAGCTCTCTCATCGATTATTTTGTGGGTCATAAAAATGTTATGAAATCGTGAAGAAGAAATGAGAATGTTGAAGATTTCAAGAGTGTTCAGTCTGTTATTACTCCTGTGGTTCAAATCAACCCAGTGTTGAGGCAAGCTACTTCATTTTATACAGTGAAATTATGCTCAATGTTTGAGAAAGAGTTATTGCTTGGGCAAGGCAGACTTGTCTTCAAATTCTTCGTTGAGTGATTCAGAATATATGTAAAGAATTTGGAAAATTAGGGGACGAACAAACCCTGAATTGTTAAATTTGACAAGGTTATTTGTGAGGTCAAGCGCAGCTGCAAAAATTTTGAAATAATGGGGTCATTGTGTGCCCACTCTCTACTTGATCTTAATTTAGTAAATTTAACAAAACTTCTTGGCAAATATGTCTTATTACGATGGTCTACTCATGCAAAAAAAAACATCTATAACAGTCTTGGATACAAAAATCTCAAGGAGACCCAAATGTCCAATGTATCTTCAAGTGGGCTTCTATTTCGCTCACATGATCAAAAGTTTGCATACCAACTTATTAATAAAACACAAGGAAATAAACTGACCAAGCAATGTATGCTAGAATCATTTAAAAAATCATTTGTAGATGTTGAAGACATATTAGGAGGGAAAGCACCTTGAGCAAAGAAAAAAAATTAAAAGAAAAAATCGTTAAATAAAGAATGCAATTTAAATGACCCCAGCGAAGATAAGGCCAAAAGGAATATCTACTTCTTGGTTAAAAGGGTATTGGGAGAAAAATAAGAGAGTAAAAAGTATAACAGTTTTATTCTATGTAAGATTATTATTCTCTTACTTAAACCATTACATACAAGAAATGAGAAAGGAGCGTCAACAAACCAATAACCAATTATTCCATGCGAGACAAAGTTGTTTGCATTGTCAAATAGTCTGATATATAACTGAAGTTCAATACAATTACATTGATCTTTTATTAAAATATGTTCCTAAAAGTTCATTTACAATTACTCCAAAATAGCAGGAATATCTTACGCCACAACCAACAAAAACATATATCAAACTGTTGATGTATTCCACTAGTGAGTTCTAAGAGTATTATTAATTATTTTATTTGATTCAAGTGCTTGGGTTTTGATGTATTCTTAAAGTAAATTTAAATGTGAGCTCCAAATATGTTAAATTATAATATGTTTTGTAATTGGATAATTTTTCCACACTGTCCATTTTCTTCCGAATAATGTTCATGGCTACATTAAAACTTCGTATGTCCTTTTGTTAAGCAATAGGATGTCCCATAAATCGTAATAACACCAAAACAACTCATAGATAACACCGCAAAACCAAGCCAAAAACACTGCACTAAATATTGATATTTTATATTAGCTCAATAGCATCAAATACTGATTTTTTATATTTTATACTTTTTAATTTATTAACCAATTATTTTAAAAATTATTTCAAAACCAAAATAACATTAAAATGTTGAAACATTTATTGTTTAAAGATATGCTAAGCTTGACCTGTGTGGTTGATTCTTATGTTACAATACTTGGGTATTACCTCTACAACAGTTTTTAAAAAAAAGGAGAAAGAACTTATGTTTTTTATAATTTACAGGTTTTAAACTTCTGAAATATTCCTTAAATAATTGACCTTAGCTAAATATAAAAACACACTGAATCAAATATATGAATGTGTTGCAGTAACAGTCAAATTTATTTTCAAATTAATATTTTCAATTTGTAAAAAAGATCAAAGGCATTTTGCATATGTAACACCATAACCCATAGCTTTCTTTTATTTTCACCACTTACAATCATTCATATTACAAGAAAAAGGTAAGCCAACGAGTACTTTAATATTAATATTATTTTAATATTTTTAAGGAAAAATTATTTAAACATTTTAAGAGTGAGTCTCTAAATTGAATGTGAAAAAATTAATATAATTTTAGATAGAATTATATTAAAATGAAAAAAAAGACCAGAGCAATTATGAGATTGAAATAACACCACAAAATAACTTCAATAACACGGAAATAATGCTGCAAAATTACACTCTTATCGCCAACGCAAAACCTCGCCAATAACACCTCGGTAACTCTCGAATAACAACGCTTCACAACACCAATAACACCACACTAAAACCAGAAAGTACAGCCGCAATAACACCATCGCAAGATAACACACCAATAACACCTATGTTCCGCTTCAGTAACTTCCGAAAACCACGTTAATAACATCCTAATAATACAGAAATTGCGTCACTGAAACTCACAAGGAACACCGCAACACCACTAAAATAATTAGCGAAGAATACTATAATAATACCTAAAAAAAAACCAATAACAACGCCGCATAATTGTCATGCCAACAACACCACTCTTTCATTCCAATTACACCACAAAACCAACTTAAATAATACTGCAATAATACCATCGAATAAAAAAATGGTATTATTGGTGTAGTCTTAAGGTGTTATTTTGTAAAAAATCGCAAATAACAACGCCGCATAAAAAATGTGCAAATAACAGCTCAATTTTGAAGTTTCGGCGGTGTTACTAAGGTGTTATTGAGGTATTATTGCACTGTTATTGAGTTGTTATTGACGTATTTTTGCGGTGTTATTGGAAGAAAGCTGCGGCTTATTAGAGTATTTTGGCATTGGCGTTATTGACCTTCTTGAACGGTGTTATTGGAGTGGTTTTATGGAATTATTAGTGTTTTATCATGTTAAAACTTTTACTTTTATAACATTTGTTTTTATTTTGAAACATTTATTTTTGACGGGGTTAAATATCATTTTCAAATTATTATTTTAAATTTATAAAAAAAGCAGGGGAATTTACGTATACACCACCCAATTCTTGAATATTTAAATATCTAACACCAAAACTTTTTTTATATATTCTTACAACTCGAAGTCGTTCATATCACATGAATAATATTATTATTTTAACATTAAACAAATGTAGTATATATTTAAACCTTTTTAAAGCAAAATTAAATATAAAAACTTCATATTATATAATCTCTTTTTAAACCAAGTGT